GAAGCATAGGCATGTGGGGCCGAATGAGGCAGTGGTATTTAAACAGCTGGGGGTATTGGGTTCTATATGCCAAGGCTGGAGAGATATTTTTAAATGTCACAGGCCAAATGGAGGCTCAGTTGACAGGATGGAGGGGCCGGGGGATTTGGAGGAGGCTGCCTCACCCTGGCTAGATATGGTCAGGAGAGCTGGGTAGGATTAGGGCCTGGGAAGACGTCCAGCCTGTGAAGTGCCCAGGAAGGGGTAGCAGGAAGGGTCACGGGAGCAAGTGGTAGGCGCCAGGGACGGCGGGTGGGCGGGAGGGCAGGTGAGGGGTGTGAGCAGGTGCTGGGACCGGAGGCCAAAGGAACCGTGGACAGGCCAAGGACGAAGCTGGAGGGAGGCCAGCCCCGAACCCCTGCTCCGAGAGGCCCGAGTCTGGAGGCCTTGTCCCGGCATCCAAGCGGAGGGTGCACGGCTTCAGGGCTGCTCTGTCCGCTCAGGGCCCTGGGACAGCTCCTGGTGACCGCCTTACTTCAGCGAAGGGGCCAGGTGAAGCTTCAGGAAGACCCGCGGAGCCTGACCCGCAGCAAGGTCCCTAAGTGGGACCCACTGTTAGGGCAGTGAGCATTCAGCTTCGACCCACCGCCACGCTGGGCGGAAGTTGCGAACTGCCCTCCAGGCCGGTTCCACCCAGACAACCACCCGTGTTTAGATACCAGGGCATTTTAGAAAACCCGTGGATATTGACGACTGACCCAGTGGAGCCCCTGGCGCGCTGGGCCTCCGGCCTGCTCGGCTGTGGGCGAGGGGCGGCCGCCCCCTGTCGACCAGCAGCAAAGCTGCCACTGCGCCGGTGGCCGCCTGGCCCCGTCACTCATCCCCGAACAGGGCCTGGCCTCTGTAGGCATTTGCACTTGCTCTCCTGCAGTGAAGTGGAGCTATTATTATCTTAGAAGGAACGGGGGCCATCCGAATTAGGCAGGGACCCAGCAGCTGAGTTGCTGGCTGGGCCTCCTTGACTTTGCTGTGACTTTGGGCCTGGAGACTTGGGCTCATGGGTGAGCTTCAGGTGGCTGGGTGTGCGGAAGGGGCCGCCAGGAGTGGGGGCCACGAGCTTCCCCCAGAGCCTGGGCCAGGCCCGTAGAGCTAGCGTGCCTGCCTGTTCCCCTGTGCGCAGCCCCTTGGTAACCTGAACAGAAACATAAGTTTCGGGCAGTTGCCATGGGAATGCAACATCTGTATGTCCCTGGGCCTCCCTCAGCCCCTGCTGGGCGGAGACTTAGCAAGGAAGGCTCCGAGGAGGCGGGGGCTGCTCTGAACACCCGGCCTTGCTTCTCTGCACCAGGGGCCGAGAGGAGGAGGGGCTGGGTGGGGGACTGTTGTCTTGCGGCTCTTGGTTGAGGGTCAGGCAGCCCCTGAGTTAATCCCTACTCCTATTCCGAATTCCCACCTTTGCCTTGGCAGTTCTGAGTTCCCTCTGGCTCTTCTAAACCTCTAGGCCACAGTAGCTGTGACCGTGGCTAGGCCCTAACTCCCTCCCGCGTCTTGGCTTAGCTGTTCTTGCACAGCCCGCCCGGGACTGGCTGGTTTGTGGTGCCTGCTGTGTCCTAGGCCTAGGGCAATGTGTTAACTCACGTGACATTCACAGCAGCCTTGGACTTGGGTGGAGTGTGAATTGGCCTTCAGGGGGGCAGTTAGCTCCAGAGCCCACCTTCCAGGCCACTGGCCTCCAGTACTGCAGGGGAGGAGAAGGGGTCTGAGCCGGCCACTCAGCAAGCTGGGCTGTTAGTGGAGATGGCTACTCAGAGGTCTTGTCCTCACACAGCAGAAACCTCAGGCGCGGGACGCAGGACAGTGGTGAGCAAGGTAGCTCGGTTCAGTGGGGCAGGGCACCCATCAGGAGGACGGGCACCTCCCTAGATGGTTCTTTCTTTTTTTTTTTGTAAAGATTTATTTATTTATTTGAAAGGCAGAGTTACAGAGAGGCAGAGAGAGAGAGAGAGAGAGAGAGAGAGAGAGGTCTTCCATCCATTGGCTCACTCTCCAGATGGCTGCAACAGCTGGAGCTGCACCAATCAGGAGCCAAGAGCTTTATCTGGGTCTCCCACGCAGGTGCAGGGGCCCCAGGACTTGGGCCGTCTTCCACTGCTTTCCCAGGTCCTAGCAGAGAGCTGGATCAGAAGTGGAGCAGCTGGGACTCGAACCGGCACCCATATAGGATGCCGGCACTGCTTTACCTGCTACGCCACAACGCCGGCCCCAGACGGTTCTGAGGGAGGGAGGGAGGGAGAGAGAGAGAGCGAGAGAGATTGAGAGAGGAAAGAGAGAGAGAGGAGAGAGAGAGAGAGGGTGCCTGGGCCATTCAAACTGGGTAAGTAAAGCTACAAAATTTGATGGAGAGAATACACCTGACAGTCCGGGCGTGCACCTCGGCGAAGCATTGGGCACTGAGAGAAGCACAGCCTGGGAGCCAGGCGGGGAAGAGCCGAGCACAGTCTGCGTTCAGACTGGGGCTCGCGAGGGGAGGGGACCCAGCCCTTCTGGAGACGAAGGGTTTGCTGGGTGTGGAGCAGGTGGACCTGCTCCCCAGGCTGCGCGGCCCTCTGCAGGTGCCGCGTTTTCCCTGGCTGATTTTTATCTGCCTGCCCGACAGGGTGAGAGCCGGTGGGAAGAGGGGCGGCTGGTGGGAGGAAGCATGGGGAAGCAGGAAGTGGGGTGGGCCAGGAGGTGGCAGGGCGTGGCTTCCAGCAGCGTGGGGTTGATTCTGAGTGCAGTCAGAACCAGGGAGGGCTCCGAGCAGGCTCCCAGTCCATGAGGGCTGGGGGTCTGTGCCGGGGTGGGAGGGGGCGCGGAGGCTTTTCCTCCAGCAGCATAGTCAAAGCCTTGACTTTGAGAGAAAGGCGGTCCCTGGTTCTTCTGGTATCTTGTCATGTCTCTGAGGCTCAGCCGGTTCCTTCAGCCGGGAGAGCAGACATGGCCTTGGGGTAGGGCAGCCCTGGAGAGCTGTCTGGGGCTGTGGGGAGACCTCGGAGCCACTGTGGGCTGGAGCGGACACCACAGGAGGGACACCACGCCTCGGGCATGGACCTGGGCGGCGCCTCTGACAGCTCCCTCCTCCCTCCCTGCCTTCCCCACTGCTGCCGGCTCACCCTGGGGCTTTTGTAGGTCTTGCCTCTTTGTTGATAGGTGAGGAAATTGAGCCTTGGGGGCGATCAATGCCCAAGGTCACATCTCCAATGCCATGATGTCGCCAGGGCATCATGGGTGGCTGGGACTTACCAAAGGGACACCACGAAGGGGTCTCCTTGACTTTCTTGGGGTTCCCACTAGAGCAGTGGTCTTACCTGAGTGGTTGACATCCTTATGGGCGCCCGTGGGGCAGGAAGTGCCCAAGCCCCTCACCACTAGATGGCGCAGATGCAGTTACCATGCCAACGTGGCTGCCAAGGGCCCCTTCTCAGGAGAACCACCTGGGGTGGGCTGCCCAGGGCCCCTTTGTTCTTGCACCTCTTGGACCCGATACCCAGTCCCCATGGGTCCATCTTGCTCTGGGGTCACAGGCGAGTCACGTCGCCCATGTGAGCGAAGGACCAGGGGCACATGGTGTCCGCCAGCCCTGCCTGTCGTGGCAAACTCAGGGCTCCCCAGCCATAGTCCACCATCTTTCTCTGGTCAAGCGGAGGGTTTCGGAAAGGGAATCCCCCTGCTGGACGTCTTGTGCTCAGAAAGAAGGGAGCTCTGGGGGGGCCGTGCACGTAGGTCCTGAAGATCAGGCCGCCATGTCCGTGTCACTAACACCCTGCTCTCCCTCGTCAGCAAAGCGGCCACTCTCGAAACTACGGCCGTTCTCTCTGCAGTCCGCAGGCAACAGCCTGAAGGTTGCCCACGCGTGGACGTCCACTGGCTGCAGAGCTTTCCGAGTGTGACCTTGGGGAGTGGCAGTGTCTGTGTCTGGTTCCCTTGACCTTGGTAACCCCGTGTGTCCATTTTCCTGTCTACTGCAGCCCTCTGCTCTTGAGTGTCCTTGGCTGCCCTCTGACCCCGCCTGCCCTCTGACCCTAGGGTGCCATCACCTCCTGGATGGGACACTGGGCAAAGAGAATTGTGGAGGTGATGGCAGCTTCACCCTCCCCATCCATGGTCGTGGGCAGGTGACACTCAGTGCTGGCCCAGCAAGGCCGTGCCTGAGAAGCCCATGACAGAACTACTGGATGCCTTAGCCATGACTTGACTAATACATGGTGGCCGCCTGAATGAGAGGATTTGCTGTGCCAGGTTGCCGCCACGCCACGCCACGCCACGCCACGCCACGCCACGGCAGGCATAAGTGGGAAACTCTGGACCGGCTGCCCTGAACACGATCAACAGGGCGCACTCAGACGCTTTGTGCTGCTGTGTAATGACGAGGCGCTGACGCGGGAGCCGTGGCTCCGTCCACCCACTCTGGCTGGCTGTGGGGCCGCTGAGACCTGTAGTCTTCCTCCCCCAAGGAGAACCCGGGAGACCCAGGGACGACCCAAGGCCTCCCATTGCTCCTTGGGCAGCCACACTTGCTCTGAGTGTCGCCTCCCTGGACGTCCTCCTCCAGCCCGGGCTGACCTGTGGGTCTCTGTCGTCTTCAGGTGTGCCCAGCAAGCGTCCTGAGGCACTGCCAGGCTCACGCTGATGTTCTCACCAGCCCATCGGCCTCACCTCTCCAGAGTCCACGCTGGCCCTGAACACAGAGGTCTGTCCATGGTGGAGGCCACAGGAGAAGCAGCCCTGGCCTGTGACCAGGGGAAGGCTGTTTTCTAAGGGCTGCCTGTGACCAGGAAGAACTACCCTGTTGCCTTTTATTTAACAAATATATATATATGTATTTATAAATATATATAAGTATATATTTATAAATATATATATTTGAAAGAGCAGAAGAGTGATCTTTTTTATTATTATTATTTTTTATTTAATAAATGTGAATTTACAAAGTGCAACTTTTGTATTGTTGTGGCTTCCCCCGCGCCACCTCCCTCCCTCCCGTAGCCCTCCCCTCTCCCACTCCCTCTCCCATCCCGCCCTTCATCGAGTTTCATTTTCAATTACCTTCATATACTGAAGATCAACTTAGTATACACTAAGCAAGGATTTCAACAGGCTGCACTCACACAACCGCACAAGGTATAGGGCATTGTTCGACTAGTAGTGTTGTTTTTAAGTTTCATAGTAGAACACATTAAGGACAGAGATCCTACGTGGGGAGCCTGTACTCAGTGACTCCCATTGCTGATTTAACAATTGGCACTCTTATTTATGATGTCAGCAATCACCCGAGACTCTTGCTATGAGCTGTCTAGGCTATGGAAGCCCCTTGAGTTCACCGACTCTGAACTTGTTTAGTCAAGGCCATATCACAGTGGAGGTTCCTTCCTCCCTTCAGAGAAAGGCGCCTCTCTCCTTGATGGCCTGTTCCTTCTGCTGGGGTCTTGTTCACCAGGATCTTTCATTTAGATCATTTTTTGCCACCGTGTCATGGCTTTCCACGCCTTGAGACTCTCATGGACTTTTTAGCCAGATCCGAATGTCCCAAGGGTTGATTCTGAGGCAGGAGTGCTGTTTAGGGCATTTGCCATTCTATGAGTCTGCTGTGTGTCCCGCTTCCCCCGCAGGATCATTCTCTCCCTTTTAATTCTATCCTTCATTATTTGCAGACACTGGTCTTATTTGTGAAATCTCATCGACACATACCCTATCTTTTTGATCGGTTGTGTATTTATACTTATCACTTTACCAAGTGCGCTGGCATTGGTACCTGCCTCCTTGGTAAGACTGAGCTGAAATCCCCTGGCACATTTCTAGTTCCACCATTGGAGGTGAGTCCGAGTGAGCATGTGCCAACCTACATATCTCCTCCTTGAGCAGAAGGGTGATCTCCTGCTCACTGGTTTAGTCCCCAAATGGCCACAGGAGCCAGGTCTGAGCCAGGCTGAATCCAGGAGCCCGGAAGTCTGTCCCAGTCTCTCACGTGGGTGACAGGGCCCAGGTACTTGGGCCAAGTTCCACTACCTTCCTGGGTGCGTTAGCAGGGAGCTGGATCAGAAGCAGAGTAGTGGGGCCGGCACTGTGGCATAGTAGGCTCAGCCCCTGCCTGCAAAGCCAGCATCCCATATGGGCGCTGATTCGGGTCCCAGCTGTACTTCTTCCAGTCCAGCTCTCTGCTAATGGCCTGGGAAAGCAGTGGGAGACGGCCCAAGTGCTTGGGCCCCTGCACCCACATAGGAAATCTAGAAGAAGCTCCCGGCTCCTGGCTTCGGTGGAGCCCAGCCCTGGCTGATGCGGTCATTTGGGGAGTGAATCAGCGGATGGAAAGCCTTTCTCCCTGTCTGTCCCTCTCTCCGTCTCTAATTCTGCCTCCCAATCAAGTAAATAAAATCTTAAAAAAAAAAAAAAAGGCAGCAGAGTAGTAGGGACTGAAACCAGCACTCCGATACGAGACGCCGGCATTGTGAGTGGTGGCTCAACCCACTGTGCCACGCCGGCCCTGGCCCGTGCTCTGCTCAGGAGCCAGCTGGTAGCTCCTTGCCGGTTGGTGCCTTGGTTCAGAAGCCAGCAGGGGACATGCCCTGTGATGACACGGGAGTGGGGCTGGTGCTCCCTGTCCCCGGCCCCACCCAGGACATTATCAGCACATACGCACCGCTCCGACCCGGGCAGCTGGAGGGACTGCCCGAGGACAGCCCGCAGAGGGCTGGGTGTGGAGGCCACAGCGGGGCTGTGACGGAGTTCTTTCCCAAAGCGCCCGAGCCTGCTGGCGGGGCCCCGGCGCACCCACGTCAGAGGCTGTCCCTTCTGAGTGCGCCTGTGCCTTTGAACAGGGCGGGGGAGCAGGCAGCCGGCGGGCAGGTGTGGACGTGCGTCATGGAGTGGGAGCGGGAAGGGGCCGCAGGCCTCAGCTGATGATCCTGTCAGACCTCATGCCCGGGGCCACAGACCCACATCAAAGGCCACTGCCCAGGTGCTTTTGAGCCGGGCCAGGAGGAGCCGCAGCGGGAGGCAGGTGCAGATGGACGTGTGCGGGAGGGCAGAGCTCAAGGGCGGCGCTGGCAGGGCCAGGGTCTTGAGCTGGTGATGGCGGAGGCCTTGAGCAGAGAGGGGCGGCTGTGCGTCTGGACCAGGGCAGGGGAGCTGGGGAGAAGGTGCTGGGTTACACCGCTCCCTTGCGCGCGGCCTCTCGTGGAGGCCCCTCAGTCCCGTTGTGCCGGATTCAGGGGGCCGGGGGCGGGGGCCGCTCCTCAAGGGCTCTGAGGACCTGTGCACCGTGGGGCAGTGGGAGCCTGGCCAGGCCCCGGCTCTGCTCGCCCCGCTGCCCTGCGCTCTACCCACCATGCTGACCTCATCTGGGCCCCTGCTCCCCCAGTTCAGGGTCCTCCTGGCCTCCTTGCTGCTGCCCCAGCGAAGCCCTCGACCGTCCCTCGGCTTCTCCCAGCTCCTGGGGCCCAGGCGTTGGCAGGCTGATCCGCAGGGGCGATGCCTTCCCCGCTCTGTGGATTGTCACGTTGTCCAGCCTTTCTCCATTTACAGCATGCAGTAGGTGCCTAATAAATGTGTTTGAAAGAGTGGTGGTGTCTTCGTCCTTGATGTCTTCTCATCAGGGCCCAGCTCTGTTTGGCGCCTCCTAGAAAGCCGGTGCTCAGGCCGTCCACCCTCCTGGCTCAGCCTAGCGACCTCCCTGGGTAGCCTGGAGCCCCACCCACTCCAGATGAGCTCTGACTTCAGAGCGCCTGTCTCCCCACTGAGCTAAACCCCAACGGGGCAGAGGCGACACACATGCTTAAGGATCTCACATGCTGATCCAGGAGGCATTCTGGTATTGGATGGATGGGTAGATGGATGAAGGGGTGGATGGATGATGGATGATGGATGGATGATGGATGATGGATGGGTGGGTGGATGGATGGATGATGGATGGATAGATAGATACAACAAAAATGATCCAAGGTGTGAAGAAAGATGAGAGGTGTCCCAAAAGCAGGAGTGGCCTCCAGATGACCTGTGTGTGTGAGGGCCAAGTGGGAGGCCCTGGGCCGGCCAGGAGGAGGTGGGCTGAGGGCCTCCCTGTGGCCATGCTGACTGCAGAAGCAAGGACAAGGCCCTGACCATTAGAGCAAATGCATTCTCGGAAATAGCAAGAGGAGGGCTTTCACCCCCAGCAAGGGCCCCCCCAGAGCAGACGGGGTCCCCTGAAATCCGTTTATGTTCTGTGGCAGTGGCCTCTCCGTGGGCTGAGGAAGGAGGCCAGGACGCCGTCACCAGCCCCGTCTTACCGTGAACCAGACATCGGCCAGTCCGTGCTGAGGGGCCTTGCACTAAGTGCCCGTCCAGGACTCCTGAAAGCGAGAACAAGGAGAATGGAGGAACCACCCCGCCAAGAGGAGCCGGGGACACGTGGCGGCTGGGTGCCGTGTGGGGTGCCGTGTGGGTCCTGCACCAGGGCCAGGGCCTTAGGAGAAACCGTGAGGTCTGGGGCACACGTGGAGTCCAGCAGGCTGGTATTCATTCGTTAGCTGTGACCATCTGCAGTGCAACGGGGGAGAGGCACATGGAAGCCAGGCTTACGTTTTACGGTCAGAAAACGTACGTGTGTCGGTACGGCACATGTGCTCCCGCCCTGGTGCACCAGCATTGGGGCAGGAAGACTAAACAGATGAGGGCACCCACCTTCCCGGTGGAGACACTGTGGCAGGTCTGCATGTGGCCTGTGGAGCAGGACAGGAGCCGGGGTCGCTTGTGGGCCATGGCAAGGCACAGACGGAGGCCCCTCTGTGCACATGGTGGGGACCCTCGGGCACAGGGGTCGGGGAACGCAGCCACGTGTGCACGTACACCCAGTTCTGTATTCCCGTGCACGGATGCGTGGTGGGGTCTGTGGGCACAGGCAGGACTTGCCTGCAGTGAGCGCACGTCTAGTGCGTACACGTGTGTGGCGTCTCAGCTCACATTTGCGTGCGTGCACACGTGTGCTCCCTGCACACGCAATGGGCTCCCTGTGACTACACCTGTGACGAGTGCAGAGGTCCCCTTGCAAGGTGAGACAAGAGTCTCTTATGTGGGGGAAGACACGGGTTGAGAGGGGACAGCAGGGCTGGCTGGGCCCGCAGGGGCACAAAGAGCCGTGTCCAGGACGCACCCGAGGCTGTGGCTGGAACCAGGATGCATAGAGGGCAAGTACAAGAGGAGGAGTGTGATGGGGGTGGCCTGGGGGCTGCTGCGTGCCCCTTTCTGGCGCACTGGGGGCGCCGTAGGGGAGGTCCAGGCCTCCTAACGGAAAACCGTGAGTTCAGCTGTGGCCATTCCAGCAGCCAGAGGCCTGTGTGGGCCCAGCCGTGCTGGCTGCTGGCAGCAGCTCACGAGTTGGAGAACACCCAGAGCACGCTTGGCAGAAGGAGGTCGGGGGAGGCCCTGTCCCCCCCACACTTCCCAGAAGTTCACTCTCTCCAGGGGCAAGGTGTTCCATAACCCGGGCTGGATCGGGGCTGAGGCCCGTGTGCCAGGCGCGCTCTGGCAGCCACCTGTGAAGCTGGCCCGGCTGTTCCTTCACACCTAGGTGGGATGTCTGGGTCTGTGGCCGCTGGGGCCGGGAGCGTCCAGGCCCTGCCACCACGGGCCAGAGTGGCTGCGGAAGTGGGGAGGAGGTGGTGCGAGTGAGGGCAGGGGTCCACAAAGGTCAGGCCGGGGAGGAGGGCGAGACACAGGGGTCCCCAGGGCCATCGGCAGCTCCCGGTGACGGCAGCAGTCCCTTCCTGCTGGCCCCCCCTGCTCGCCAGGACCCACGGGAGGGTAAGGTGGACGTGGGCCTGTCCTGGTGGATCATGGACTTCGGGCCTCAGATGGTCCCTAACCTGTGGAACTTCGGGGGCTTGGCAGGGAGGCACAGGGAAGGCTTTCTGGAGGAGGGGAAATGAACAGCAGGTCACAGGTGTCGAGGCAGCAGGGCGGTGAGTCCATGGTGGGAGCCCGGCCCGACCCTGTGCCAGGCCCCTTGCTGGCTGGGGCCCCTCCAAGAGGAGGGCAAAATGCGTTGTGTGGCCACCCGCCCCGCTGCCCAAACCCTAGAAACCAGGTGATGCTGCGGGCTGGTCTCCCTGGGTTGACCAGTTAGTCGTCCTCTGCCACAGCCACCAGGCGCCCGTTCTGCACGGGTGACTCCCGAGAATTAATGTTCATTTGATTTTTCCTGTAAATTGTAGCTCACATGATTTCTCCATCACAGGCGAGGAAGGCTTGGGAGAGGCCGGAGGGGCTCCCAGGTGGGGAGTGCTGAGCCATCACTTCTCCTCCGCGCAGCCGCCATCGGCAGGTGTCTTGATGGACAAGGCCCCCCGCGCCACTTCTGGGAGAGTGGGGGGCAGGCAGAGCTTGCGTTCGGGTCCCCCTTGAACAGGTAAGAGGGTGGTGTTGACGGTAGGAACAGGACACGGTCTGAAAGGCGGAAGGCTCTCCCTCCTACCCCACTTCCTTCTCTCAAAACTACCCATGATGCTCACAGTCAGGACATGGGCGTCCACGGGGGACAGGGCCCCAGCCCCTCATGGTGCTCACGGCCTAGCAGCCGGCACAGGCCGGCCAGACGATCCTGGAGGTACCCGTGGAGCTGCAGCCAGCAAGGGTGTATCGCTGGTCAGGATCCCAAAGGCCGGGGGCAGCTGTGCACAGGCCATGTACAGACAACCTGGGAAGGCCAGGCCACCTGCCCGGAGGGGAGCAGTGGGCAGGAACCAGCCCTGGGGACGCAGGCCCCCAGGGAGAGCTGCGCTCGTCATGGGTGCTGCAAGGGCAAGGGCGGGCGCTGAGACCCTGGAGGAGAGGCCGGGGCTCGAAGACCAGCGCCAAGGGAGGGTTTCCCTGGGAGAGGACCTGGTCCCAGAAGGCCGTGCGGCCAGGCGAGGGAGGAGGTCGCCAGGCCTGCTTGCTACTTCTCACCGGCAGCGAAGCCTGAGGGCTGGCATTTGTCTTGTTTTTGTTTTGTTTTCTGCTTGTTTGTTTGTTTTGTTTTGTTTTTGTAATATCTGAGGCTCAAAAGAAACAAAGAAACCCAAGCTTATAGAAAAACAAGAAAAAAGAAGGACCTCCCCCTCTCCCAAACCTGGCATCTGAGATTGAGACAGGCTGGAGCGCGGCTGAAGAACTGAATTAAAAACCAAAGCCCACGAACAAACCTCACTGCTTTCTGGGCCAGCCCCCCAGTGCTTCCGTCTCCACCCCCACCGGCGCCCTGGGTCCCCACGGACAGCTGGCCACCCAAGGGCTCCCCGCTCTGCGCAGCGTTCCTGGAACAGGGCTCATCAGCCTACCTTGTCCATTTGCAGGTACGGAAACGGAGGCGCAGCAAGTCCAGGAAGTTCCCAAAGCTCACACCCTGCACGTACCGCAGTGACCCTGCCCCTGACGGTGACCCTGAAAACCAAAGGAAGCCAAACTTCCAGGCTTCGTCTGTCCGTCCAGACCTCCAGGTCACACAGCACTGTGGCCCAGTGCTTCCCTCTGAGCGGTTGTCACGTGGGGCAATTTTGGTGACCCCCCCAAGGGAGAGTTCCGGTTGTCACACCTGGGGGCTGGGTCCCCCCTAGCTGGAGTGGCTGAGCCGGGCTCAGTAAAGCAGCGAGGGTACATACACAGGCACCGAAATATCTGCACTTGTTTATTGGGGTGAAACGGATTCGGGAAATTTTTTATTTTTCTTTCTTATGTTTTTCTGTGCTGTTTGAATTTTTTAAAGAAAAAATGTGCATGCATCATTTTTATAATCAGAGAGAGAAGAGCTGTTTTCATTGTGTAAAAATAAAAAAGGCCTGAGGACTTAGCAGCGATTCCGATGGAGCCCTCGCTGACCGTTGGGAACAGCTGTCCAGGGAGCAGCTGTGTGCAGAGTTCGAGGAGCTGGCCGGGGCACGCGGGGCCGCACTGCCCGGGACGAGCTCTCTGAGCCCCGGGGAGGAAGCGTGTTGCGACCGAGCCACTTCCTCGCTCCTGCACCGGCCCTCTGACATGGTGTGTGTGCCCTGGAAGCTTCCAGACGGAGGGGACCTGGGCTCTGTGGGGGCCCCAGGACTCCCTGCAGACACAGCCCGTGGGCAGGTGTTGGGCTCCCAGTGTGGGACTGCCTGGCTCACTTCCTACGACTCGACTTCGGAGTCAGCCTCCTGCTAAAGGCAGCAGACAGCGGCTCAAGTGTCTGGGTCCCTGCCACCGTGTGGAAGCCCTGGCTGGAGCTCCAGGCTCCTGGCTTTCGCCTGGCCTAGCCCTGGCTATTGTAGGCTTTTGGGGGAGTGAACCAGCGAATCTGCCTCTCTCCCTGTAACTCTGCCTTTCAACAAAATAAATCCTAAGAAAAGGAAAACCAGCATTGAGTTCTGGGATACTTTGGATTCCTCCTTGAGGCTGGAGCCGGTTTCCCAGCAGGGCTCTGTTGACCTTCTGGGCGGGCTGGTTTTTCCCTGCGGGCGCCCTGGGCCTCACCCGCTGGATGCTAGGAATGCCTTTGCTACCAGGTCAGGAGTCACAGCAACTAGGGCAAATGACGGTGGCCCTGGCCCCCTTGGTGTCTCCGCCAGAGGACCTGGTGGAGGTGACACAGCCTTCCTTGTCCACTTTGCCAAGTGTCCCATTGGTGTCTACCCTCCCCACACTCCAACAGGGTCCCTCGGGGTCCGAGAGCCCCGAGTCCTCCCCCCAAGGCCCCCTGGACCACGTAAGGCCTGGGCTGGGCTGGCTCTGTGCCAGCAGCGTGGCCAGGCCCGGGGACACTGGGACACAAGCCCTTCGCTTCCTCGGATTGCATAAATAAACCCGTGAACTAATTGCAAGTGGGCCCTGGGAGATGCGACCTGCGGCCGCCTCTCAGGATGGTGGCGCCTACATCGGGATGAGCAGGTGAACTTTGGCCTGAGTCAGATAGAAGCAGTTTGGGAAGCTGAGTATCTCACCTCACTTTGTGTCTTTTTAAAAATCCACAGCCTAGGTGTGCAGCACAAATTGGATGATCCTGTATCTCCTGCTGGCCAAGGCTGGGAGAGGCACCTCTCTGGCTCTCGTGCCCTGGTCGCGACCTGCTTGCCACAGACCCGGCTGGCCCCGGGGGACAGCAGCATCCTCAAATGCATGCCAATAACCCTGCCCTTGTCCACATGGGCCCCACTGATGGACACACGCGTTTGTTCAGTGCAGGGCGGTTGGCAGCCGCCTCACGGGCAGCAACACAGGTGCCCATGGTCTAGGGCTGGTGCAATACTCCCCTGTCCCCCCGTCGCAGGTGGGTCACCACGAGAGGGCCGACAGCCGCACTGCTTTGTGGCCACAGCCAGGTGCAATGCAGTGTTTACAGCCCTCACAGGGGGTAAAGCCACCGCCTGCAGTGCCGGCATCCCATACGGGCACCGGTTCGAATCCCGGCTGCTCCTCTTCCGATCCAGCTCTCTGCTATGGCCTGGGAAAGCAGTGGAAGATGGCCCAAGTCCTTGGGCCTCTGTACCACATGGGAGACCCAGAAGAGGCTCCTGGCTCTTGGCTTCAGATTGGCTTAGCTCTGGCCATTGCAGCCATCTGGGGAGTGAACCAGTGGATGGAAAACCTCTCTCTCTCTCTGCCTCTGCCTCTCTCTAGCCCTGCCTTTCAAATAAATAAATAAATCTTTAAAAAAAAAAGAAAAAAATTGAAAAAACATGCATCTGTGCCGGGGCACGTGCCTCGGGCACCCCAGGGCTGGCCGGCCCCTGGGAGGGGTGCAGGTGGCGCGAGGGGCTGCCATGGCACCCTCCCTACCCCCGCACACCCCCTTTTACACTTCGGTGTTTTGGTTTTTGAACTGGAGATAAATGCTCAGAAACCCATGTATAAAATTAAACTCCTCTCAAACCAAACCAAACCTCCTCGTGCTAACTCTGTTACGAAAAACAGACGACGGAGACGGGAAGACAAAGTCCCCGGGAACAAGCCGCGGGGTGCTGCTCTGGGGAGACCGAGGCCCTCACCGGCTCCTGGAAGATTTCACGTTTGGCTGCTTTCCAAGGCACCTTCGCTGTGCTGCTCTTCCGGGATGCTTTGCGTCTTTTCTCTTGGGTCAGCGGCCAAAGCTGGCCCCACAGCCCCGTGCTTCCCGGAGCGCAACGGACTCCTGGGTGGCCACGTGCTCCACAGGGCAGCTCCTGGTCACCGAGGTCTCCTGGCGGAGCGGGGAGACAGACGCTTCCCCTCTCCCTGCCGGCCAGCGCACCAAGTCCTTTCCAAGTCACGGACGTGGGTAACGCGAGGGCAAAACAGCATCAAGGGGTAGGCCCGCCGCTGCGCTGTGGCGGCCGGAATCGGGGGACCCGGCTCTGCACACAGCACCCGTCCCGCCAGCAGAGAGGCTCTGCGGGACGTTCCCGGATCAAGAGAGGAGAGAAAGAGGCATTTGCCGGGAGCTCCCCGTTACTCTGCCTTGTGGCAAATCCAGGCGTCCGGTGCTCGGGCCGGTCGGGGGCGGCCTGTCCGTCAGCCCGCTGTGCTTTTGCCGGGTCCGCCCTCCTCTGCTTCCCGTCAGGGTTCAGAGCGTGCTTTCCCTTCGGTCCTGGAAACTCCCAGCATCCTCCGTCCTCCGAGGTCTGTTACGCTCTAAGGGAGGCCTTAAGGAGCTCCAGGGTTGGGCTGGATCCACACTTGCCTGAAACCCTTTTCCACAGGTTCTGCAGGCAGACAGCACCGGCGATGGGTCCAGGGACAAAGCTGCCCCCAGCAGAGCTGCTGCCTCTGAGAACGGCTGTCAGGCGGGGTGGCAGGGCTGCTTTGTGGGGCACTGGGGCGCTCGGGGGTCCCGGCCAGCAGGTGTGTCTCTGCTAGAGGCGGAGCAGGCCGCGGGCGGCACCTGCAGAGTCGCCGTCCCGGGCTCTCCCGTTTGCCCTGCAGGCAGCGCGGTGCCTATGCGGCTGGAGCGGGCCACGGGGCGCTCGCCGACGTTTCTCCGTGAGGAAGCCTGGCCTTCCTTCTTAGGAAGGAGGAACTTGCACTGAGGCTGTGGACAGGCAGCGGAGAGGCCAAGCCCCTGGCTGGTCCGTGGAGATGTTTCTGGAAGGTCGGGGTCCGCCATCTTTTCAGGATTTTAAGACAACTGTGAAAGTGGTGCCGGAACAGGCAGAAACGCCCACGGCAGCCCCAAGGGCGATTGACGGAGCAGCAGGCTTTGGCAGGGCCTGACCCCTGGTTGCGCGGGTCACCTCGCTGGGGCTCGGTGGACAGTGTGGGCGCCGTCCCCACCCACGGGCAGGCAGAGGCTCCGAGAGGCTGGGCCGCTTTGGCCATGGTCTCACAGGCTGAGCGGCGGGGATGGGAAGGGAATCCTGGTGCGACCGCAGGGCCCAGGGCCGCCCTGGGAGGGTGATGAGGGACAGCGGCCAACGCACTCTGGGATGCCTGGGGCTGGGGAGGCCCTGCACCGCGGCCACCGGTCCCAACTGCGCAGCCACCTCCCTGAGCATCTCTCAGGCCCCCCCACCCTGGGCGGGGGGGCTGTCCACACCGTCTCGCCCCTCCCTGGTCTCGGCTCAGACGCCGCCTGTGGGCTTGTGTCTTTGCACTCACACCGTCGACGTTCCTGGCCTTCGTTTAGTGTCTCTCTTGGCCGGCACAGCATTGGGTTGGACAAGGGAAACTGCGGCTCTTGGGGGTCAGAGAGCGCTGGGCGTGGCGACCACCTGTATCTTTCCCCGATGGGTTCTCTGGGGACGGGGCTTTCTTTGGCGAGGCACCACGGCCACGCCCATGCTGGTGCTCCTTGAACACTGTCGAAGGCAAGCCGTGCTGGGGGCCTGCAGCACCAACTTAGGACGTCAGCTCCAGATGCGGGACAGTCTGGGCGCTCACGGGAAGACGTGAGACCTGCAGGCTCCGGTGCTGCAGCTGCCCTGGTGTGACTGCGTCATCCTGCCCCCATCCTCCCAGTCCCAGGCAAAGGAAGACGGCAGTTGTCAAGCCAGGCTGCTGGGTTTAGGGAGCTGGGGTAGGGGTGGGGTGAAGCCAGGCCGTTTGCCCCAGGGCCCTGAGGACACCTCCCTCCGGGACGCAGACCCGGGCGGCACGGTGGACCCAGGCGGCCGTGTGTACCGAGAGACGAGTGTTTTATACACCGTTGTCTAATGAAGGTTGCAGGTGAATGTGAATGGAACTAATGACAAAATAATAACCTGAGTTGGGAAGCTGCCTGGGCTCTGGAGGCCCGGGTCTCTGTGCTAATGGAAACGTGGTGGGAGGGGGCGGAGGGGGGGCTGGAAGGAGCGGCTGCTTGTGCTGTGCCGAACTTGAAGCTGCTGGCCCCTGGAAAGTTCTTGGGTGGGAGAGGCTAGAGCCAGCCAAGGTAATCCAGCCCAGCCTGTCTTGGAAGCTGTCCCCTGCCCTGCTCCAGCGCTGGGGGGAAGGGCAGGGAGAGGGGGTAGAATCGGAAGGCCAGACCCCGGCTTCTGAGAAGGGCCCGGTCAGTGGAGGACAGGCGGGAGACCCCGAGGCGTGGCCCTGGGGGTGCCTCTGAGCCCCGAGGGGTCTCCTTGCTTTCAGGTGGTGGGGAGGGAAGGGGCATCCCCGTGTCTCTTCCCAGAGCTTTCTGACAGCCACGGGCCTCCTGGAGGCGTCCACCTGTGTGTTGGGCAACTTGGCCATCATTCGGATAAAGCCGCACGGGGCAGTGGAGGGGGGGCGTAAGGCTGCAGGTCGGGAGCTGGGAGTCCTGCTCAGCCAGTCCCCGGCCCTCTCCCTGGACCCTGGGGTCCACCTGGTGATGGGTGGAGCATCACCCATCAGGGTCCCCATCAGGGCCCTCCCACAGTGCCCACACGT